TAATATATTAATTTTTAGAAGTTTTAGCTTTAAGCCTTAACAATATATTTGAATTAAATTAATTTTTTAATTTTTTAAGACGAAAAATATTCAAAATTTAGCTTTTATTCAAATTTTTTTCTAGTAATTATAAAATCTTCAAAACATATACATAATCTAAACTATATAGATACTAACTTTTCTGAAAGTTTCAAGATCATAGCACCTCTTCATGAGAGATATAGGTGCAGAGAAACTTTTGTCGGGCACTGTAGTTATTTTACATCTCATTATAATTACATGATGAGATTTACATATTATTAATTATAATTTTTATTATAAATTTTTTCTTTTTTTTTTTCTTATTTGTTATTTTTATAGAGTGATAACAAATAAAGCCAGAGTGATAACAGGTATTTGTTATTTTCTGAAAGTTAAAAATATAAAAGAAGACAAAGAAAATGATAAAAATAATTAATAACATGAGTTTCTATCATATTGTCATATAAAATGTTGAATAATTCATTTATTTGCCTTACCAGAAAAATAATTAAAATATTTCTCCCAGTGTCACACTTATGAGGTGCAAAGCATCTTACATATGCTGCTGAGGAAATATTTCATTATTCCCACTATCTTGGAGAATAAATAGTACTTAACCACCAGTAAAATTACTACTCCTAATTTTTTTTTTTAAATCTTTGACAGTCTTGCTAGTGCTCAATTTATCGGGACTATATTTCAGGTAAGAGCTAAGCTTTCTCAAACAATACATATTATCATTTATAACCAAAAAACAGGGAGTCTTGCGATTGTGAGCCTGACATCACCTGGCTGCAATAAATGTGCCCAACTGTGACTTGTTGCACCAACCTATATACAAGTTAGATAAACTTTGTCAGCCTGTCAAAGCTTTTCCCTTCATATCTTCTTTCTTTACCGAGAGCAAAAGAAAGTAATGATCTTATACAAAACCACCAATAATATCAAGAAAACAAAATGAAAAAACTAACTAAAAAAAACAAATAGTATGAAGAAGTATTTTTAAAGGAAAAAAAGAGGGTACAATGAAATGTAAAAAAAAGAAACACAAAGAGAAAAGCCCGAGGGCTGACAAAGGGGAGAACTACCTCTATAAAGAAATAGCACAGGGGAAATGAAATAAAAAAAACAAAACAAGAAGAAATACACTATTATAACCTGTGCTAGATTTAAGAAAAAATTTTATAACTGCAATGTTTGTATATCTCGACTATAATATAAAATCTTTATTATTCAACTACTGGTCACCTCCAGATACCTCTTATGCCAGAGACCCAATTCCAGTTACGTGGAGGTTCTGTATCCATAGATTACGTCACGTATCGTATCCACCGATAAACAAGGCACATAGTTGTATTCCTGGGTACGTCCGAATTTAGGAGGTAAACAATACCGATCTTTTGAAGAGGGTAAGCCAAATTGCCCACTTTTTGTCGAAAATTTTGGAGAAGACCAACAGGACCAAGAGAGACTTAAAGAAAGGACTACTAGCACCCAAAGAGAGTATTTTATTCTTAAAAGAACCAACAACTATTAACTCTTTTTCTAGAAAATTGGAAGAGCTACTGTACTTAAACGGTAAGTGATAAACTTTGAACTTGTCTGCAAGTAGCGTATAAGAACTATTTCTAAATGACAAGTGCCGTACCAGCGGTGACTAATAAACTCTAAAGAAGTTAGCAGGTAACATATGAGAACTACCTCTAAATAACAACTGCCGACTTATGAATTCCAGTTTTATGCTCTTCATTACTTACTAGTTACTGTTTTTTACAAAAATTGTTTAGAAAATTTTGATTTTAGTGATCGTCGATTACCACTCCTAATTATTTTTAGAGTTAGAGTATAGATATTAAGAATTATTTTTTTTTTATATATAATTATTTTTTTAATATAATATAATATAGAGCTAATATAAAGTTTTGATTTTAGTTTTTATAAGGTTTTCAAGAGTTTTAAATATTTTTACTTAGAATACTTAATACTGTTTACTTAGTACATTTTTGAAATATAGCACTACCAATATACTACTAGTGATTTTTACTACTGGTTAAAATTAGCAATTGCCTTTATTATATTTCTTAAGTTTATTTTTTATTATTTTTTATTACTTGATATATATTGTATAAATAATCCTTATTAATATCAACTTTTTTAATATCAATCTAAGTTACAAATCCAAATTTTTATAATTTTTATATAATAAAATTCTTTTATATATATCAACTTTAATATAAATTTTTATTAATATTATTTAAAAAGATTACTTGTATTAACAAGTAATATAGTTTACTGCTACTATATTACAATACTAAAGACAGTATTGGATACTAGATATATATTATATATCTAGTTCAATATTTAAAAATATAAAAAAATTTTTTGATAAAAATATAATTTAGTAAAAGGTTTTGAATAATTTTACTAACATCAGAAAAATTTTTTTTATTCAGATTTGCAATATTTTGTAAAAATACAGATTTTTACAAAATCTGCAAAAACAAAATTCTGTGCAAAATTGTTTAAAGATTTGTGCAAATTTGCAAATTTTTTATATTATTAACTTTGCTGTAAATCTGTATTAAAAAATTTTCCCGATGAATCGTTATTACATGGCTAAAACTTTTGGTTGTGTATTGAGAAAGGTTTTGATTGGCTATTTGTTACATGATAATTGTTGATTTATATATTACACAATGTTTCTAACACTGACTATAGATGTCTAGCCAAGGCGATACAATAAGTGCATTTAGTAAATCAATAGTTACTTTCCTTATTAATATATATATTTATACACTGTATATTAAAAAACTAATATGTTGGCTACTATATACAGTACCCAGGGTCTTATTTAAAAACTATTTTCAAAATTGAATTATTTTGAGGGATACTGTATATGTTGTACGTTGTTTATTGATTCTTGTCAATTTAGAACCAACAGATATCACTTTTAAATTTTCATTGATCAATAAATAACTCATATCAATTGGTGGTTTAGATTTAAATAGTTATCGGACTTAATAACAATATTATGATAATAAAAGTTTAATAAATTAATTATATATTATATCAATAAAGGTCAAGTAATTATCAAACTTAATGACAATATTATAATAATAAAAGTTTAATAAATTAATTACATATTATATTGATAAAGGTCAAGTAGTTATTAGACTTAATAACAATATTATGATAAAAGTTTAATAAATTAATTACATATTATATCGATAAAGTATATATGATCTATAAAGCAAAAAATAAAAATAAGTCTGTTTTAGGTATCTTTAGAATTTTTTTTTTTTTCATTACTAACTATGAAAATGCCAACTTTTACTTTTCTTATCCATGAGTCTTTTGACTACATTCTAAAAACATATACTGATTAACGAAAAATAATAGAAGTTTAATGAATATAAATTGTTATAATGAATATTTAAATATACTAAGAAATTCTAACCTTTCATATAATCCAAAACTTAAATATTGGGTTATCTATATCTTTAAAATTCTTTGCTTCAATACAACAAAGGAGCTTCATTTACTTAAAAGTAATGAAAATAATTTAGAGATACAAGTTTGTGTTATATAAAGTTTTTATGAAGTTATTTGTACTGCATATCAAGAAACTAAGTATGAAAGGCAAGAGAAGACCTAAAAAAAAGTAAATTACTATTATTAATTGTATATTTGTTTGTTTTTAATTAGATATTAATTAAACAAATAATTTTTTTTTTATTTTAGATGCAAATTAGATATTGTTATATTCTATAACAAATTGTTGAGAATGCAGAATATGAATGTCAAGTATGTATTACAAGACAAGCTATAAAAAATTCTATCTATTCACCTAATAATATCTAAAGGTTTTTTTAAACCATGTTCAAGTAAGTTTTAAAATTTTAATATTAGTGTATTTATTTATTTAAAATTTTTAAATTTAATAATATTATATTTGTATATTATAGATTGTTACAATTGACATGATAGCAGTACTCGACAGGGTTTAAAATTGGCATGCACAAGTTGCACATATGCACAGGTTTTTTTTGATTTTTAAAAAATCTCTTAAGTGTGTATGAAAATTTTTTTAAAAAAGTTGTACAAAATACATTGTGCATGTGATTTTTTTTTTGAATTTTAAACACTAGTACCCGATAGGTATTACAAATACATTATTCATATGAAAGACTATTTTTCAAGATTTTTTTATACTGAGCTTATACATCCAAGTCAGCTAAGGATACTGCTGTAGTTTTATTTAATTTTTGTTTGATATTCAGTCCTCCAGCAATTTTTTATTCGGACAATGGTGGTGAATTTATTGGAAAAACTATTAAAGAGGCACTAAGTTTCTGGCTATTAATTAAAACAGTTCATGATCAGCCTAGAAACTCACAGTGCCAAGGTTTTGTTGAAAAGAAAAATAGCATTCTTCAAAATAAGTTAGAAGCATAAATGGAGGAGATACATAGAAGTAATTGGAGCATTGGTTTAAGATTTGTAGTCTGTAAGTATTTATATATAATTAAATCAAATTATTTAATTTGTTCTTTTATATTTTAATACTCTTAATAATTATTAAAGAGCAATGAATAATCAATACTGCAGGGCTTATAAAACTTCACCATATAATGTTATATTCAGACAGCTCTCTCATAGTGATACAAACATGTTTGCAATTTTAAATAACAGTTATGAAAATAATAATCATCAAGATTCATTTAGAGAAAATAATAATTACCAAGATTTATTTGAAAAAAATAGTAATTATCAAGTTTTATTTGAAGAAAATAGTAATCGTCAAATTTTATTTGAAGAAAATAATAATCATCAAGCTTTATTTAAAGAAAATAATAATTATTAAGTTTCATTTGAAGAAAATAATAATTATCAGAGTTCATTTGCAGAAAATAATGAGCAAAATTTATTTGAAGAAAATGATGACTATTTCGAAAATAATAATTCATTTGAGGAAAATGATAACTATTATATTCGTGATTTTTTAGATGATGATAAACTAAATTCAAGTTATTTTTTAGCCGATGATTATTTTTCTGATGAAGAATTTTCTAAATCAGAATGTTCAAAATTTGCAAACAAAAAGAGTTCCAATATTATTATATCTAACAAAATTAAAATCAACAATTCAAATTCAGAAGTTATCATAATTAGTGATTCTGAACCAGATATTACTACTCACCAAAAAGAAAAACAAAGAACATATTCTATTGAACTACAAGAAAATGAAGTATATATTTATTATATTATATTAAACTAATTTTTATTATAAATATGTGAATTCAATTTATATTAATGTATAATAAATTTTTTTTAAAGCAAAGATCTCCATTACAAATTCAACTTGACCTTCTTTTGAAAAGCATGAGAAGATTTAACAAGTTGCAATTTTAAACATTAAAAAAAATCGAGAGTTCATTAGAAGTACTATGGAAATAAAGCACAAGACTAAAAGAAACAGTGCATTTGAAATTAGTGAATTTGTAAAAGTTCGCATTCCTGAAATTGATAAAGTGAAGATGGATCGAAAATCAGTACTCTGTAAAATTATTCAGAAGAAACCAAATCAAGATTCTTACCAGATTGCCTGCAAATTTGGGATCGTTGAGAACTGGTTTCCTTCTTGTGAACTCTTGCCATTAGGCACTCCTGATTATCCTGATCTTGACATTGTTCCACTTAATAATACAATCTCATTGCGGCAAGCAGGTATTAAGCAAAACATATGCCCAATACATCCTTCAAGGCAAACAAATAATTCTATTGTCATGGAGTAAATTTTATTATTATTATTATCTATTTGCTTACTTTTTTTTATTTCTTACTAATTGAACTTTTATTTCTAGCGATGATTTAATGTATTCAACACCTAATGCTAAAAAACCTCGCGACTGCTGCCATTGCAAAAAGACAAATTGCAACACCAAGTCTTGCACTTGTAGAAAAAACAACACATTATGTTCAAGGCGGTGTGGGTGCATTTTGCGTGACCAATGCAACAATCAATGAATAATAATTATTACAAAAAGATGTGTTAGCTTTCTTTTATTATATACATTTTTTTACCGTTAAGGTCAGCAGCTAGTGTTGAACATTCATATTTGTAAAGAAAGCGTCTAGCAATTTAGCTTTTAATATATATTCGTCAAGCATGTAATTTTTTTAATACTATATATCAAATATACGTATGTAAATTAATTGATCGGTAAAATTCATACCGATTCCCAAATGACTTAAGTTATTTATTGATTCAAAAATGACACCTGTTGACAAGAATCAATAAACAACACACAACATATACAGTGGTCAACGCGCGTCTGTTCACACATGCGTAATAGTTACGTTTTTGATTCATTTATTACAATGTTTTGTAATCGATCTATTTGGGCTTAAACCACAGCTTTTAGTTAACATACGTACGTACAGTACGTACATATTCAGTATATAGCTGATAGCATTTTATGCGTTTAATTACGAGTGCATCAAAAATAATGCGCGTTCATTCTCACGGCAATCACTAAACAGAATATTTTGCGTAATATTTGTGAATCAGGACACCTGCTTAGCCGGAAAAATCGAGAAACCTCATGATGGCTTCTAGAACAATACCTGTCTAATGGGAATAGAGATTTGTTGCATGTCAATATGTTATTGGTGCGCATTCATGTTATCTTGATTTTCAGGAAAATCATTCCCATTACGGATTGATTTTTTCTATTGCCCGCAACAATGAAATTAGGATTTTTTTTTTTGTACGTATACGTAACAAAAATGTTTATAATGCTCCATTACGTTGGTAACGGTAATAGTAACAATTTAATAAATTACAGATGATTTGCCATTGTTTTCTTTCTTCCACCGTATAATTGTGGTATTTATTCTCTGATATCTTTTTGCTTGGACTCCTGTACTGATATGACGGCTAAAAGGCGTCTTAAACATTAATACATGTTCAATATCATTTCTACTGTCGGCAACGAACACATATCATTTATCTTCTTTACCCCGCATTCTATAATTTCATGTTTCTACGTAACATCACATTAACCCAAACATGGTATTCCTTTACATATTTACGGATAAAAACATGTTTCAAACGTTGATATTTACTCTACAACCTGGTTTGTGGGGTTTTTAATTAATTAAATAATTTAATTTAAACCAATAATTTAGTATATATCACAGGACTATCATCCGAATTGACGATTGCTTAGGCTTAAATGTTAACAGTGCAGAATTTGTGCCGTTTTTTTTTTTTATGGTAAGTATCACATACTGTAAATACACTGGTTTTTATTTTTCGATATATATATATATAGTTGGCATTTTCGTAGGTGATTTTCTCTCGTCATTTTGCGTGGTCGATGTTCTTTCGTCAACAATAGATTTTCTTTTCCTCTTGTATAAATAAATTAATTAACTATGGTTAAAATGGTTGGAAAATTCATTAGATGGATAAAAAAAGGTTATAAGAAAAATGATGCTGATATTTCGATATCACTACAACCTCCACTCACTCCTTTATTACAGCCTGCAGTTGAAGAAGGTAAGATGCTATTGCTCGCATTACCATCTAATCTTATAGCCTCAACGAGTAATAGCAAGATATTACAGTATATTATTACTGAAATTTTTTTGTAAATGATATTTTTCTTAAATATAAAAAGAAATTTGTTTATAATCGAACCAAATGGTCTGCTTATTATAACAAATATCATTTGTTACTTTCCGCAGTAATCCATGGATATACTATCACTGAAGAATGGTACTCTGGAAGTACAAACAAAGTGTGCAAAGCAATTAAAGATTCCCGGGAATACGCTCTAAAATTCTTCAAAGATGAGGCTACCTTTAAACATGAAGTTGCTATTTTGTCCCTTTTGAAAAATTCACAGGTCGAAATGTGTTTTTTTCCTCCAAAACTTACACCTTTTATTATTTTGACCGAATGTATAAATAAAAGCTTAGCTCGGATTTTGTTAAGCTTTTGCTAAATTTTTTCATTGTTATTTTTTTTTCATTATTCGTGAATAGAATATAGTCCAATTAGTTGAGTTTTTTGCGACGGAAAAAATTCTTGTCCTCGAACATGGCATTTGCGATTTACAAACTTACATTCGAAAACCGACTTGGGTTCAAAGTCGTCAACATACCGATGAAATAAAGAAAAAAATAGTAAAGGTATGCATTTAGGTCTTTATAATGTACTCCTATTCTTCGTGGTATTAATCATGTGACTTGTGTTATGTAGGATGTTGTCGCGGGATTGGAACAATGCCACAAAAGGGGGATAAGTAAGCAATAGCTTTTGATTGTGTCGTACTTTTTGTAAACTTTATTTTTTTTAATATTATCTGAAAATTGGTGCGTCTGTTTGTCAGTTCATACAAATTTGACACCAAAGAACATTATTTTATTCCATCAGGATGCTGCAAATCTTGGAACCTGGAAGTTGATAGATTTTGACACGTCACGTAAAATATCGGCCCCGACAACATTAAATACCGTAAATTACTGTAGCCCTGAAGTCGCAAAGGCCGATTTTATCGGCAAAACAACGAAAGCACACCCGTCAATGGATATGTTTTCTTTTGGCTTAGTTCTTTTCTTTATGGAAACTGGTTATCATTATTGGAAACGAAAGGATTTATGGTCGATTGGGCCACCATTGACAAAAATAGAGAAGGTAGAATTTCTTCGGTCTAAGGAATCCCTTGTTGTAAGCGTCGATGACATAGGTGATGATAATAAAAGGGAGATTATAAATGATTTATTAAAACCGAAAAAGCGAAGGTTGACATTAACACAGTTTAAGGTTTATAATTCTAACAATGTCTATGTAAAGCTTATTTATCGCGAAACTTTAATAACGTTTGTATAATTATTATGCAACAGAAAACTGTATATTATTTTGATGATAATGACGAAGATATAACAAACGCGATTATTCAATTAGATAGGGAAGAGGAGGATAAATTCAAACAACTAATGAGTCTTATTCCACAGGAATGGGAAAAAATTGGTCCGCAGGTAATTTTTTAGTGATATACTCTAACAGCATTTGCATTGTGTTTATCACGTGGTCGTCGATCAATTACAGCTTTTCAAGTTACGATGTGAAAAAATACCACGTTTATTCATCGTTATCCCCGTCAGTCCGTCTTGGAAAAATCCAAAGTAATTATTTAGTACGACTAGATAGATAAATAGATAGATATGTATATTTTGAACTAATTTTTCGTGTAATTTTAGAACCTGGACGTCACAATCATTTCGATTACATTTTGTATGCGAACACGTTACACCACATGTCCATGAACATGAGGGTTTTTACATTCAAAGTCCTCTCGAATTTATAAAAAAATATGGAGCTTATATTAAATTTTGGTAAGTTGAATTTACGTGGATTTTGTGGTTTAACTTATTTTCAGAACTAAATTACAATTATTTTAAAGTCACCACTTGGTCTCAGCTAGAACTACGTATGATACTTTCCCTCAAGAAATAATAGATCATATCACGAAATTGTTTCATGTCCCCAAGTCTTCGAATCTTTTGAATCATATCGCCAAAATTGGGGATCAGATACATCAAATAACAAATGAGCTTCCACCAGTCACCGATGGCCAAGCAGAAGTTCTTGATCTTGATGATGATGCCTCTCATTATTATATACTTAATTCTGCTGGGCTTCGTGAATTGAAAGGTTGATATATGAAACATCAAAATTTTCCTGACTTTATAACTTATACTATTTGATATTGAGTTTTATAATAAAAAACAGAATACTTTAACAACACAAATATGCCCCCTGAACACCTTATTGAAGCCCGTCGTAATGATACTAATGATTTTGTTTGGATTTGTGAAAGACACTCACGTGACCAGCTTTACGAAGCAAATTTTCTGGCATCAGGTTTAAATGTTTCGCACTCCTCACATATTGCAGACATGGAAAATATTCCTGTCAATAATGTTAGGGCAATTATAGATGATATTGTCGGAAATGCAAGTTTTCGCCCACAACTTATTAATGAATTCAAAAATATTACCACCTCAACTATGGATGTATTTGAATCATGGTTTCAAGATGGTAATACTACCGTTAATAATAGAGACCTTTTGACGGATTCGTTAGAGCTATACAGTGAACTTTTATTGCGACTGCTGAGTTATCAAACTCATCGCAATCATGGTACATTATTTTATTATGATTAATTATTGTTAGCAGATTATTATTATTATAATAAATTTGTATTTAAATGATAGCAAAGAAAACATTATGGACCAGTGCAAAGAAAGATCGACAAGATATTACAAGGTAAGAAAAATTATATTGCGTTTAATGCAATCATCTGATTCTTATTAACATTTATTAATGTCCATAATTACATATAAGTTTAAAAGAGGAGTACAAGATGCACATGACAAAATTGATGGAAGCACTGATCGATAAGTCGACGAATATTATAATTCCTGGATACAAAGGATCCAGATTATCATCTAATGATTCTTTTTTAAGATATGAAGATGATAAGTTTAATATGTGGGATACTCGTATAAATGAGCTTTATGAATTATATATTAAACAAAGCAAAGTCCATTGTCTTTCAACTGCACTCTTGCGTGAATCTTACATACCCACAATTAAAATTAAAGAGCTTTCAAACATTAATAAAAGGCATGGTTCCACTTTCTGTGTAGTAAAAAGTAAAGCTGATAATAACATAGTAGCTGCAAAGCGTTTGTTCAAGAACGCCATAAATTTGAACATGCTTTATAGTGTGGAAAAGGAGGTTTATATGTTCAAAAGATTTCTAGCTCCTTGTGACTATATAATTGGATTTTTTGGTGTGACAGTGAAAGATAATAGTCCATGTCTATTGATGGAATGGGCACAGGATGGAAATTTATATCAGTACATGAAAACATATAAGACTGTTGAGAAAAAGAAAATGAGTTGGCAATTTAAAATTAGCTTGGCTTTAGACATTGCTAAAGCTGTAAGATTTTTGCACGAAGTAGGTTGCAAACATGATAATTCAAAATATGTATTCTTCAATTTAATTGCGATTGCTTTTTTTAGAACGGAATTATACATTTGGACATTCGTAGCCATAATGTACTTTTGACTTATGGCAAAAAGGCCAAACTTTCAAATTTTCTTTGGAGTCGAAAATTCGATGACGAGCAAACATTAGTATCTCATCCTACAAACTATAAAAATGGGGTACGTAATCGATGGATGGAGCCACAACAATTATTAAACCCACCAAAGAGTAAATTAGACTTTAAAACTGATATTTACAGCATGGCCATATTTTTATGGGAAATTGCCGATGGTCGAGGAACTTTACCACACGCGCACATATCAGATAGATTACTTAAAGAATATGTTGTTGACCAGAAAGGGCGAGATGGGTTACCTTATGACGATGAAGAATATCAGCTAGTTGTTTTCAACAAATTAGTACGTAAAATGTGGGCGTGGCATCGGCCTCACAGACCTGAAATAATGCAAGTTGTAACAACCCTTGAAAGGATTTCAAATATTGAGAATACTGGATCTATAATGTATGAAACCAATTTACCTAACATGCCTACTATGGATCAAGTATCACGTATGTATCACAATCAGCAGTATACTGAAGTATTACCATTTCTGATTCGTTATGCAGATAACGGTGATTCGGAAGCGTGTGAATATTTGGCAGTTTATTATAGAGATGGTTTAGGTGGATTAGACAGAGACGTTGGCAAAGCAATGGAATATTCAAAAAAAAGTGGTACAAACAAGTCACATAAGATTAAGCCGTCACAAAATGAAAATTAATTATTACTATTATGATTGTCTTTATGTATTTATGTATTTCTGTATATTAACAAAATGTTCTGTTTTATTTAAAAACAAAAAATAAATTTCAAACGACTAGAAGCTCAAATTTATAAAAAAAAAGACGCCTATGGGCGTTATTTTGAAGATTGGGTGTCATACACTGCTTCCAGCGTCCCGAAATAATGCATATCTAATATGTGAGCATAGTCGAGATATTAAAGCAGTTGTGTCCTTCGTAAATACATATGACTTGGTTGGTAAGCATGCATTATCCCTTCGTGTGTTTTACAGGCAAATTTGCCTGCAAAATTTATTTTTGCATAATTATTAAAAAAGTAAATATAAGAAAGTTTTTTAAAATATATATATAGGCCGGCGCAAAAATGTAGATACATGATGGCTAAAATTATATATATAAGTATATACAGTAACTATTTATTACAATTTTTTTAATATCTTTTTTTTTTTTGAATTTTTTTAAAAAAATCATATTTATCACCAATATGCAATTTTATAAATTTTAAATAAAAAAATATTTTACTATTATATATATTGAATATATAGTTAAAGTTTAGCTTAATTGAATTTGTAGTTGTTGAGATATAACTTTTTAAGTTTAATAATTAATTTATTTTTTATTTTTTTAATCCTTTAACAGTCTTGTTGAAGCTCAAATACAAATTATTTAACTATTAGACTAAAAACAAAGTTTAAAGAAATTTCTAATAATTAATTTAAAATTGCAAGTCTAGCATCACCTAGCTACATATTATACACCTAGATGTAACCTGTTGCACCAACCATATATGAGTTAAAAAACTTTGTTAGCTCTATCAAGAACTAAACCAGAATGGGGTTAACCCACTCTCTATTCATTCTACTATGATCTTTTTAAACAACTACTTCACTTCTATCTTTTTTTTATTATTTGTTATATTAATTTCACTATTTTAAACAACCTTACTTTTGCTTCTCTTTGCTTTAGATGTGATGCTGCTATTTCCATCATCTGTAGTACTCTTCTCTTGACTACTTCTTTTTATTATAGCAATTATACCATTTGCCTTTTTCTATACAACTATTGCTTTATATCTTTTTTGCCAAATTTATTAAAGAGGTTACTTTTGATAATTGTTTTGTACTTCTCTAGCACTCTGTTTATAACTCTTCTTGGTAATTACAGGTTCAGGAGCTCTTCAACTACTTGATTTAATACAAGCTCTCAAATATAGTCTTTTCTTTGCTTAGTTTACTTCTTAGCTATATTACTAATTACTATTGTGCTAAACAACTTTACAGAAACTAGCTATTTTTTTTCAATGGAGTTAAGATCATCTTAACAATATTAATACAATTATTAAAATTGTATCTTATAATAATTTTATAATAATTTTATAATAATTTTACTATATAATTATTTTAAAATAATTTTAAAATTATTTTATAATTATCTTATAGTAATCTTATAATAATTTTTATAATATATTATTTTAAAATTATTTTATAATTATTATATAATTATTATATAATAATCTTATTATAATTTTATAATAATCTTATAATAATCTTATAATAATTTTATAATAATTTTATAATAATATTAAATAATATTCTTAAAATAATTTTAGAACAATTTTAAAATTTTTACATTAAAAATTTATTAAAAATAATCTTATAATTATTAAAAAATTTATTAATATCGTTAAGATGATCTTAACTTCATTGAAAAAAAATAGCTAGTTTTTGTAAAGAATTTGATAAGCATTTTTCTTTTATATACTTTGTTTATTTTATTTCATATTGTTAAACATGCTACCTTTTTAATAATATTTCAATAACCAGCATAATTAGTACACTTAACTAGATAATCAGATGTTTTCTTTATATATATGCAGCTTATACATATGTTTGCTAGGTATATCTTAGGCTTTTGTTTTTTCAAGACTATAAAAACTAGTAAATTATCACTTATATACTTTATTCTAAAAGCTATATTTCTACTTGCTATATAAAACTTGTATTTGTTTTCTATTACTTTCTTATTTTGATGCTACAATATTTTTCAGTTACAACTAGTACCTGCTCTGCTTTTATATATTTATATAGTATGCAAGCTATACTATTTAGCACTAGTTTTGAGCCTAGTAATATCATCACCACTTTTCTTATTGTTATTTTAACCAGTGGTTTATTTACATAAACTATATATAGCTTGCAATAGCTATTTTTAGCTAGCAACTACTCTAACCAAAATCTCTTCTTTGCTAGCTAATTAGCTCTTTTATTCTATTTAACTTTACTGTATACTTTAACCTTTACTAAATCAAGTACAATACTCTTTATCTTCAAATATTCTAAATTTTGATTGTTAAATTGGTATATTACCTCTTACTTTATTTTTTTGCATTTGTTAGCACCATTGTATCTATTATACTTGCAATTGCTACTATACTGTTTAGCTTAATTACTATCTTACTATTATATTTAACTATTAATAATGCTATTCAAACTGCTACCAACTTAGCTTTTATTAAGAATAGCTATTTACTAAATCTAATATTTTTTTCTATTACTATTTCTTCTTTACTACTATCAACCAGTACTAAACCTGCTTCTATTCTACAATTTGAATTATTTTTAATTAAAGAGCTATTAGAATAAAAAACAAAACTACTGCTATCTTTATTACAATTAATTTCTACTAACAAAGACTCAAGTTAAATATCAAACTATTACTCTATAATTAAACTTTTTTTATGTAAGTGTATCACTATAGTGTCTATTATTAACCACTTTTTGTTAATACAAATTTTTAATAGTTAATTAGGAAATAGCTTTTATCTTCTTCTTAACTCTACCTACTATTAGCTCAGTATTTTTTTTATTTACTATTACTTATTCATAGTGTATCTTGTTACTTGATATTCTTTTGCTTCTATCTGTATATGCATTGTGTTCTTTGTTTACAACTTGTATATCTGCTACTTCTCTACTTGCTATACTGCTAATAATTTTGTTTTTAATAGCTCTAAACTACTTTGCTTTTTCTAAAATTTACATCAATATTTTCTGATACTATTGTAGTGCTTGCTAAATATTTTATCTTCTACTATTTTTAAAATTATAGAACCAGTTCCAAAAACTTGCTATTTTTCTATATTTATACTGATCAAAATTTTTAAATTATTTGGTTTTACTAGTACTAGACTTGCCAAATTATTTTTTCAAATTTTTTTAAGCAGCATATTTAGTAATATATGCCAACTTTCTTTAACAAATTCTGCTAATACAACTCTTATTTATTTTTATTTGCATCAATTTGGCTATTTAATCTAGATTATTTAGCTTATTCTGCAAGCTTACTAATTGTCTGCTAAAGATTTTTTGGCCAAGTGTTTTGTATCTACCAAGCCCTTATATAGTTACTTGCTATTGCTAAAAGTCTAATTTTAATAATTTTAGCTATAGGTTGATAAATTATATCTAGGCTTGTTTTTGTAATTTTGGTTGTTTGTAATATATATATTAGCTTTGACATAATATATATATTGTTTATATAAATTGGCTAGCTGGATTAATAAACTTTTGAAGTACAATGTTCTTACAAACTGCCTTACAATACTTTTTGTCTTTTTAATGACTAGGCTTTACTTGGTTTTGTACTTATCTAGATATCAAATAAGTGTGTTAATGCCTTCTTTTTTTTAGTATATAGCTTGTGTTTACCTATTTCAATTTACTTTTTATTTTTTTTAAACTTGGTATTAAATATCAAAAGCTTTGACTTTGCTTTGTTTATTTGTATATTATTAAACTTGAAAAAGCATTGGGCTATTTGGATTATTTGTTTAACTTGGCTTTTGCTTTTCTACTGCTATCTGCCTTACTAATTCTTTTCTTGTACTATTTACTTGCAAATTAATTATCTTGTATATGTTTACTTTGTAACCAAGCTTTTTATTGTTTTGAATTTTTCTTAATAAAAAATCATAGAAAAATTTTCTATACTAATAAAGATATTTTTTCTTGCTTGATTCTATTATCTGCTTTAACTTGTTTGTTAGCCCAAAATAGTGATTATTTTAACTCCTCTCTTATTAAATAGCTTTACTACAAAGTCTATTATTTTTGGCAACAGCTTTATTCTTTGAAGTATAGTATAAAGTTAGTAATATAATTCAATAATAACAAAAGGGAATAATAAAAAAATAGCTGTGTCTTTATTAACACTAAGTTATATACTTTTTTTATGTCTTGAAAATATTAACTATAACTTTTTTTTGCTCTTATATATATCTTTAACTATTATTTCAACTAGGCTAATTGCTCTTTCTATTAAATTCAAATCATATAGTACTTTATTTTTTACAAATACTTTCAAAATTCTTTTTATTAATAGCTAGGTAATATATTTTCTGAATGTTTTCAACAAAGCTATCAGCCTTATATTGTATAGTTGAAAACTCCAGTCTTCATTCTTTAAAATTATATATATCTATATGAGCTTCTATTTATTAGAAATATTACTAACTACTAGATATATGGGTTGGGATCCCACGGCCTAGTAGTCTAGGCACCCAACTCTCTATGAGTAAGTTTCAGGTTCAAGTCCTATACTTACGAATATTTGGAAGTATCTGCTATGGAAAGTCCAAGTGAATACAAGTCTAAATTAGGAATTTCCAAAAGGAGGTCCATTGTGGAGTAGTTGGCACTATGTGTAATGTTGGTCATTATAAAAGGTTTTATTATACAAAAGTTGTGTGTATAAATCCGCAATTGACAAGATAGCACCAACAACCCCTAAGGCAGCATTGGGGATTTTGTTTGAGAGGATGATCAGGTGTTAACCAGAATTGGAAGTGGTGAGAAATATAGTAAATACAAAGAAACCTGTAATAAAGAATTGGCCTTACCAGATTTGAAACACCTCTGGCAGTACAGAACTCACTAGCCAATAAGAAGTTGAAGCATAGAGGCGTGTATGTGTTGATAGA